TGAAAGAATTCAACCCAGAAGTGAAAAAAGATTGATAAATCTGTATAAAAATTAACGCATTTAAAGAAGCCTGGGTGGCTCAATCCCAGTTAAGCGGCCGACCCCGGCTCAGGTCACGATCTCCTTGATTCCCTGAGTTGAGACCCCTTGCTCGGGCTCTGTGCTGAAGGCTCAGAGCCTGGAGCCTGTTTCAGATTCTGTGTCTCCCTCTCTCTGACCCCGTTCATGCTCTGTCTCTCTAATAAAAAAATAAATAAACGTTAAAAAAAAATTTTAAAAAAATTAGCATTTAAAACTTCTGCATGGAAAAAAAAATTTGGTAAGTAAAAGTCAAAAGAACAATAACAAACTGAGCAAAAATATTTTTTATACCACACATAAAGCCAACAATCCAGCTTTCAAAATGGGCAGATAAAATTAACAATTCAAGAAAAATAAAATGCAAATAGTTCATAAACATGAAGACACTTAACCATATAAAGAGAATTATACTAAGAGAAATTCAGATTAAAGCTAATCTTCAATATGTTTTCACCACAAATTGTAGATATCAAAAAGTTTCTGTGTTGTCAGTGTAATTGCAAAAGAAACATTGAATATTTTGCTAGGGGTATAAATTGGTCCCTTCTGGGAGAGTCAGTCCTGTCAGTGTTGATCAGCACTGCAAATGCAGGGCCAGAAATTCTGCTTCTTGAAAATTTATCGCATATAATTATGAGCTAAGCGTATACAGAGTGAACCACCAAGACATTAACAGTAACAGGCGTTGAAATAATTTAAATGCCTGCCAATAGGAGGCTGGCTAAATAGTTTATATAGGGCTTTTCAAAAAGACAGTAATTGTTTATGTACTGAGAAAAAAAATACCTCAAAGACATGTTAAGGGAAAGGAAGCAGATCGACGAAGTGTGTTGGGCGTGTTACTGTGTGTGTGTATTGAGAATGTCGGGGAGAGAATTTTCTTGTTGGTGCATAAAGTATCTCTGAAGAGCATATGTGAGGGAACCTACTAACATGAATTGCCTCTGGGAGTGAAACCAGGTGCCTGGAGATTCATAGAGGCTGATATGGAGGTTTCTCCCTATAAATTCTTTCCTTAGCTTTTTTTTTGACCTTTACAGACCATGTAAATCAATCAATAGTACAGTTTTTTAAGTGAAATCACATTAGGTGCCAGGTAAAATAGGGCAGTGAAGCCACTCTAGAATGTTATCAGAAGAACCAGGTTCTAATTTTTTTACTCCTTCCGTAACTTCGGCTGGCCAGCCCCTACACAAGCAAGCTCCCACACAGTGCTGGGTGAGAACAGGTCAAAAACTGGTGTCTAAGACCCTCTCCAGTTTGGGTGTTCAGAGATATAAACTGCAGCCTCTCCTTACATTTCTTAAAGTCATCTCTACACACTTTCCTCTGCAACTCATCAAAAGCTCAAGAGGAAAAGAAGACAGATTGAAGAAAATAAAATTGTGAAGATGACTTTTAATAGGGGAGTGGGAGATACAGGCTTCCAGTTATGGAATGAATAAGTAATGAGGAGGAAAGGTACTGCATCAGGAATATAGTCAATGGTATTGTAATAGTGTTGCATAGTGACAGGTGATAACTACACTTAAACATATAAATGAAATAAGATACATTATAAACTTAATATAATTAAAACTGTGTTATAATGAATAGAGAAATGATTAGAACAGCATGAAGAGTCCAAAAATAAACCCAGATACGTACAAAAAAAATGTATATGGTAAAGATGGCTTTTCAAGTCAGTGGAGAAAAGATACACAATTTCATAAATAGTGTGGGACAATAAAGTGTTATCTTACCTCACAGCCTACGTCACATAAATCAAAATTGAAATGAAATGTTTAACTATAAAAAGTAGAACGATAAAAATAATAGAAGAAACAATGAAAGAATTCAACCCAGAAACCACAAAAGAAAAGATTGATAAATCTGTATAAAAAATTAGCATTTAAAGGGGCGCCTGGGTGGCTCAGTCAGTTAAGCGGCCGACTTCGGCTCAGGTCACGATCTCGCGGTCCCTGAGTTCGGGCCCCGCATCGGGCTCTGTGCTGAAGGCTCAGAGCCTGGAGCCTGTTTCAGATTCTGTGTCTCCCTCTCTCTGACCCTCCCCCGTTCATGCTCTGTCTCTCTCTGTCTCAAAAATAAATAAACGTTAAAAAAAAAATTTTAAAAAAAAATTAGCATTTAAAAACTTCTGCATGGAAAAAAGTACCAGTAGAAGTAAAGTCAAAGAACAATGACAAACTGAGCAAAAATATTTTTATACCACACATAAAAGCCAACAATCCAGCTTTCAAAATGGGCAGATAAAATTAACAATTCAAAGAAAATAAAATGCAAATAGTTCATAAACATATGAAAAGACACTTAACCATGTAATAAAAGAGAATTATACTAAGAGAAATTCAGATTAAAGCTAATCTTCAATATCATTTTTCACCCACCAAATTGACGAATATCAAAAAGTTTCATTCCACCCTTGTTGTCAGTGTAATTGCAAAAGAAACATTGAATATTTTGCTAGGGGTATAAATTGGTCCTTCTGAGAGAGTCAGTCTGTCAGTGTTGATCAGCACTGCAAATGCACAGGGGCCCAGAAATTCTGCTTCTTGAAATTTATCTTACATATAATTACATAGGTGAGCTAGCGTATATACAGAGTGAACCACCAAGACATTGCTGGTAACAGGAAAACGTTGGAAATAATTTAAATGCCTGCCAATAGGAGGCTGGCTAAATAGTTTATATAGGGCTTTTCAAAAGAATGAAGTAATTGTTTATGTACTGAGAAAAAATACCTCCAAGACATGTTAAGGGAAAGGAAGCAGATCTGAAGAGTGTGTTTAGCGTGTTACTGTGTGTGTGTATTGAGAATGTCGGGGAGAGGGTGGATATTTTCTTGTTGGTGCATAAAGTATCTCTGAAAGGCATATGTGAGAACCTACTAACATGAATTGCCTCTGGGGAGTGAAACCAGGTGCCTGGAGATTCATAGGGGCGATATGGAGGTTTCTCCCTATAAATTCTTTCATAGCTTTTTGACCTTTGAACCATGTAAATCAATCAATAGTATTTGCTGGTTTTTTAAAGTGAAATCACATTAGGTGCCAGGTGTCAAAATAGGGCAGTAGAAGCCACTCTAGAATGTTATCAGAAGAACCAGGTTCTAATTTTTACTCCTTCGCTAACTCGCTGGCCAGCCCTACACAAGCAAGCTCCCCACACAGTGCTGAGCCAGACAAGGTCAAAGAAGCTGGTGTCTAAGACCCTCTCCAGTTTGGGTGTTCAGAGATATAAACTGCAGCCTCTCCTTACACATTTCTTAAGTCATCTCTCTACCTCCTCCTTTCCTCTGCAACTCATCAAAAGCTCAGAGGAAAAGACAGACAATTGAAGAAAATAAAATTGTGAAGATGACTTTTATAGGGCTCCTGTTGAATCGTTGTGTATTCCACCTCCAAAGCTGAAAATGATGAGTTTAATATCACACAGAGCAGTGCATCTTGTATCTCTCAAAAGACAGCTTATGCTACCCAGAGACTTGGGAGCTTGGCAAGATGTAATTTTTCACTCCAACTCTGAGGCAAATGAAATGACAGTCACCAGGCCCACATTCTAGAAGTAACATGGTTTTCATTTGGTGGTAACTTCGTTTCAAAGTGTCCCAAAGAGAGAGAGCTCTTCTAAGTGTGGACTTTCTTTCCCAGGAACACACACTAGAAAAGGGATGGAAAGGTGGCCAGATTTTTCTGTGACTGTTTCTAGAGTTGGCCATTGATGGCGATAAGTTAACTGCACCAGGGATCAGGAGACCTGGGCTTTTTTAGTCTTAGTTATGCCAGGTTGGACAAGTCTCTTTCATACTTGGAGCCTCTGCTACTCTCAGAAAGGATTATCAGGTATACACTGTGCTGATATCTTGGAAGAGAAAGTCAGATTTGAGGAACATGAAAGATTTATGGGCCAAAAAATTCCCTAATTCTTGCCAGTCCATTCTGGTGTCTAGGGCAATCTCCCTGGGGTTGCCTGTGCAGTCATTCTGCATACAGCACCTGAGTATCATCCTTCATGTCCAGGCACTGGGCTGTTTAGAGACATCTCCCTACCTTCAGGGAGTTCCTTGGTGGAAACACTAGCAAATAATACCGTTTCAGGCTAGGGAATGCCTTAAATATGTATAAGTGGAGAGCGAGAAAGACTAGTCAAAGTCATCTTTACAGATTACAGAGCATAGTGTGTATTGTTTTTTTTCCATGCACTATTTATATATTATTGGAGAGTAGGTGTGGTAACATCTAATGAGGTTAAATAAAAGAATTAACTAATATGTCGTACATAAAGCTCCCACAATCGTGCTTGGCATGCATTAAATATGCAGTAAATGATAGTAATTTTTACTGCAGTGCTTGGTTCCCAGTATAACTTCTCTGAAGTTGGAGTTAAAATACCCATTTGTCTAAATAAGAAAGCTGAGACTCAGAGTAGGGCAGTGATCTACCCCAGACCTCCTCAGCTAGGAATGGCCCAGTCAGGCCAAAACTATAAGCAAGCCCAATGTAAATGCAATTATGTTACCTAAAACGTATTTCTCATTGATCCGAAAAACAAAGTCTGCTAGTGCCTTTAGTCATGAATGTATTAACTGTTCTGGGTAAGCAACATTAAGCCTTAACCCAACAAAGCCCTCACCTCTTGAAGAAGGATGCTACTAATTATAGTGTTCTCAGACCTTGGGGGCAGATGGTGTTAAAAGTGGGGAGAAATTGATTCTCACGGCTCTCAACCCCTCCAATCACATTGCAGACGGCTGCTAAATCTGCTGACACGTAGGCCCGGCTCAGAAGGAAGTATATGAGCATTTGTGTGTGTGTGTGTGTGTGTGTGTGTGCACGTTCATGCACCATGTTTAGTGTCTGATCCTTTAAGGCAAGCTCTGTGACCCCAGACTTCTCATTTGTCATCCTTTCTCTCGACAGAAAACAAGCCTGGAGTTTTATATTGACATACATGCCCACTCCACCATGATGAATGGCTTCATGTACGGCAACATCTTTGAGGATGAGGAACGGTTCCAGAGGCAGGCCATTTTCCCCAAGCTCCTCTGCCAGAATGCTGAAGACTTCTCCTACGTAAGTCGAGGGTTCTCTCTCAGCACGCCCCCTCTCCTGCCCAGCACCCTCCCTTTTACTGCCTACCTCTCTTCCTCTTCACTCACTTCAGCTGGGTTTAACATTCACAGACCACCAGCCAGCTCTGTGCCAGGCCCTGTGTGTGGCCCTGTGTGTGGGCCCTAGAGGTGAACGAGCTCCGCTCATGCCCTCAAGCAGCCCATTGCGTCAGGAGGGAGACTCCAAGGCAGCACGTGGTCTTTCTGAGGAGCTGGCATTTTTTGTTCAGTTGGTCTGACCCCAGAAGTAGCAAGACAAGGGACTCACCAAGCTCCCCCCCCCCCCCCCCCCCCCCCCCCGACCACCACGTGCCAGACCGGACCCTGCCCCAGGGCCTACTTTCACCAGCCCTTTTAGTAGGAGCCTAACATACCTGCTGAAGGGGGGAGGGCAGTGTATGCTCCCCATTGTCTCCCTCCATGACCCTTTCCGGGTCTCAATTTCCTTGTCAGTAATTCATGGGTCATAATGTTCTGCCCTGCCTGCATCACAGCTTCCTGGGAGCACAAACACAGCAATAGACGGCAAAGGAGTCTGCAGACAGTAAGGACTCAGCAGACTCCAGAGGCTGGTTGTTGCTACCCACCTCACACACCGAGAAGACTGCAGCGGCCGTGGACTGGCAACTAGAATAATTTGCAGCAAGAAGCAGTATTGGAGAGAGGATGAGGAGTAGAGTCAGCATGTGGTGTGGGGACATGGGAGAGAGTTTCTGCACATTTTCCTTTGTTCTGATACTAATTCTCTAAGGCCTATTATTTCTATATGGCCAGAGTGGGAGAGGCCCACAAAGGTCATAGCAATTTTTGAGTTGATGAGCTGAAGGCTTGCCTGCCCATTACTCCAGGCCTGGACATTAGTGGAGATGATGAATTTCTCCATGAGATAAGATGCTTTGAATCTCAGAAGTTCTGAATGCCAGACCCGGAAGGAACTGGACCAGTCTCCTCTTTGCACCCAAGAGATACCCAGGTGGCTCCCCATTTACATCTCTGGGGTAGAAACCACCACGCTTGTTTCTGTAGGAATCCACAGGATGGCTAGCCCCAGGCTTTTTGAAACCACTCCAATTTCAGAGCAGGCTGTGGTCTCCTGGATCCACATTCCCTGGGAGGCTGGGCCACAGGCCTCAGAAACCCTCACAGGGGTGAGGTTTCCAGGGCAAACAAAAGGGGCTCGGTCTAGGAGCTTTATTTCTGGCCTTGGCTGATGGTGTTCCTGCACTGCAGCCATCTTAAGAGCTCAAGACCAGGGTCAAAGTAATCTGTCCTCACCCGTCCCTGTCTCTTCTCTGATCCTCAGTACCCCACGTTAAAATGATTTCACTGCATGGACTTCAAGGGTCCTTTCAGACGTGACGTTCTAATTTTCTGGTCCCTTGCTTTATCTCAGAATTCACGCACGCACACACATGCACACGTATCATGTACACACGCACGTGCATGCACAGATAGTTTCTCTTCCTTTAAATGTGTCTTTAAATCTCTGCCTTGTCTTGCAATTTTCTTTCTCCCTCTTTTCCTTCTTCTCTTATACTCTGCTGAACAAGACACACATTCTCTTATTAAAACCACAGTCTCTTTATTTCCTTAGATCTCTGTGGGTTAGCAGGGAATGTCCTTTAACCTCAGATGAATTACCTCACAGTTCTGTGAAAGAGATGGTATTATCACCTCCACTTTACAGATGAGAAAACTGAGGCTAAACCAAATAAGGCAAGTTGCCCAACATCTCGCCTGTCTTTGAACAGAGGACTTGAGATGTTGATCCGCTGGCTCTGTCCTCTCTCTGTCCACCTCCATGGGTGAAGCTGACACTCTTTTGGAGAAACAGCCATGATCCCTACCCTCTGGTGATATCCAGCTGGAGTTCGGCTGCCCCCAGCGGAGGGAGCCATTGTGAAGGAGTGTCAGCGCTTCTGGAGTTACTTACTCCTCGGTTCAACTCTGTGCTGTATCACTTGCCTGCTCCATCTCTGTGAGCCTCATTTTCGCACCCAGAGGGGCAAAATTGCAACATCTATGTCAAGGGGTTATTTTGAAGTGTAAATGAGATGCCATGTAGGAAGCAACATTACAAAGTTGCAAGCATTGCCCAAATTTTCATTTTGATTATCATCACAATATAATTGCTTATTGTTCTCTGTCTACGTTTCCTTGCTCCATCTGTCCCCATTCAAATTCCCACAAATATTTGTTAAATGGCAGTTACTATCCAAAGAACTCTGCCGGATGCTTTCATTTAATTCTGTTTGTTTATGGGGCGCCTGGGTGGCGCAGTCGGTTAAGCGTCCGACTTCAGCCAGGTCACGATCTCGCGGTCCGTGAGTTCGAGCCCCGCGTCAGGCTCTGGGCTGATGGCTCAGAGCCTGGAGCCTGTTTCCAATTCTGTGTCTCCCTCTCTCTCTGCCCCTCCCCCGTTCATGCTCTGTCTCTCTCTGTCCCAAAAATAAATAAAAACGTTAATTCTGTTTGTTTATGTAATCAGTCCCCATAATAACTCTGTGATGTGTGGTTAATATCCACTTTTCAGATGAGGAGGCTGAGACCCAAAGGTGTAGTAAGACCCAAGATCCGATAGCCAGCAGGTGCCTGGCCCTGATTCTCTCCTCCCTACTTTGTCTTTCCCAGTCCAGCACATCCTTTAACCGGGATGCTGTGAAAGCAGGAACTGGCCGTCGCTTCCTTGGTGGGCTACTGGACCATACTTCCTATTGCTACACCCTCGAGGTCTCCTTCTATAGCTACATCATCGGGGGCACTACAGCTGCTGTGCCCTACACTGAAGAAGCCTGTATCCTTGGCAGGTTCCCCCCACCCCCACCCCAGGCCTGGGCCAGTCCGCATCTAGCCACGAGTATCCAGGTCTGGCAACATTTAATGGGCAGGCAGGAATCCGACATTCAGCTTAGGTGAGGGCTGAGGCTCTGGGGTGAGAATGGAGGCTGGCTATGCTGATGGCATCTTTGGATTGTCCTGTTTGCCCCTTGCCCTTCTAATGGACACACCCCATCCCAACTGGCTCCGCGACGGCCTTCTGCTGCTCCCATCTCTATCTCCCCTCCACACCCTCACGAGGGAGTACGTCTTCTACCATCTAAGGTATGTAAGCACATGGGCTGGAGAATGACCATCCCCCTGGTTGCTGAAGAAGACCTGGGTGGTCTGGACTCCTTCTAACCCTGAACATGTAAAACTATGTCTTGTCTTTTCACCTCCCACCTTTTTACGCTGGTGTCGTCTTTCTCTTCTCTCTGTTCACCCATTTTCCTCCCCTTGTCCTCTCTCCTCTAGCTCCCCCTCCACTCCTGTCCTGTGTTTTTCTCTCCCTGCTTCTTATGTCCCCTCCCTCCTGGATTCTCTCTTCGCCCCACCCTCCTCTCCTCTTCTTCTCTCCCCATGCCCCCCCTGTGTCTTCCCTGCCTCCCTTCCCATCCTCTGCACATCTTTCTCTCTGCTTTGACATTCCCCAAGTTGCTTTTCCTCTTGGCTTCCTCTTACCATTTCTCCAAAATCCCCCACGCTTGTCATAATGAAACTATTAGAGGTTACTTTCTAGCTTCCTTGAATTTCTAGGGATTATTTAGTCATTCTAGTTCCCTGGGTATTGATTTTAATGTCAAGGTCCATACATAAGGATTGTGACAGATTGTGACAGTTTTTGCTTCCCTTTATCCTTTTGTTTTTGGATCGACCCATTTCTCCTTTCCTAACACTTAGTTTTCTTAGAGAAAGCATTATAGTTGATGGAACAAAATGGAAAGGGATGATATTAACTCTATATATGTATAATTTCTCTCTCCCTAGAAGTAGAAGTGTTCCTTTTAGCCCTTGTTCAACCCTTGATGAGTGTTCATGGAGTTCCTGCCATATTTTGTTCAGGAAAGCATCCTTTCTGGTCGGGGCATGACTCAGGACTAGTCCACCCCGTCAGTTGCGGCCTGGTGGCCCTGGGGGGTCCAGTTACCTTGCTGAGAACATGGGAGGCAGGGTGACGGCCCCTGACCAAAGGGTGAGAAGCAGGTAGGCCAGGTGTTAGAGCAGTGTTCTGGATCCAGTGGAACACTGGAGAGATCATAAGAACTGAGAGTCCCTTCCCTGCAGTCACCAAGATTGAGACAGTCACTTTGAAATCTGCTTTGATAACTACTTGGCCTAGCAAGGCCAAGGGAGTAGGCTCTGCTGTGAGACAGAGGATCCTGGCCACTTCTATGTGTCACGTTGCCCCTCCCCACACACACACTTGGTGTGTGCCCATGACTTCTCCAGGACCTGCTAACACCTGTAATACATGTATAGATGGCGTTCCACACCACACTTGCTTTGTTCTCCCGGGATGTTGTGGCAAAGGAGATCGAGAGGGTTGCCTGGAAAAAGTATCTGAGCATGTGTACCAAAGGGATTCCACATACTTGTTCCCAGTGAGCCGTAGGTCCCTCCAGAGGAGACCTGCACTTAGTCTGCTGTTGATTTCTGACGTCAGAGGTGCTTTCTTAGCACCTCGCCTGATCTTGTGTTGAAAGAAAATGTGTTTCTTAGTAGAATGCCCCTCCCTTGCCCCAGGCCCAGGTTTTCTCTTCAACACCCAGTCCTTGTGCATCAAAATAAACACATTGTCAGTACGTGCCAGGAATCACACTAGGCACCCAGGGTAAAATACTAACCAAAAGGCATGGTCCCTGGCTCACAGAGCTTTTGGGGAGACAGAAAAGGAAAGAGGCAATTATAATAGAGCATGGTGAGTCTTGTAGTGGAGGGATTCCAGAGAGCCATGGGGAACTTCCCTCAACAAGTACATATGAGTGTCTGTCAGAAGCTAGGGTAAGTTCTAGGCATGGTGGATGTAGCAATGAACATATTAATGACAAATATGTCTTTGTATGGGAGTAAAAGGAGACCCAAGCACAATTTGGGGAGGTCAAGGAAGGCTTCCCAATAGAAGTGACATCTAAGCTGAGTTTTTAACGTTGAGTAGAAATTAGCCAGACTGGACTGGGGTCTGTTGGAGGGAGGACATGACAGAGGGGAGGAAGGAAGGTGTGCAGGAGGAAGAAGGTGGTCCAGGATGGCTGTAGGACTTCAGATATAAGAGATGACACTGAAGTGGCAGACTGTGAGGAATTTGAACTTGAATATGAAGGCAATGGAGAACGATAGAAGGGTTTCACACCACGGTGGAAAGCCACTCTGACTACAGTGGGAAGAATAGATTGGAAGGGGCCAAGACTTTGGGCAAGGACACACATAGTAGGCTGTTCTGACAATCCAGGTGGGAGATGATTCTGGCCTAAACCTGGGTGCTTCCAGGGAGTATGTAGAATGGGGAACCACATACATGTAGATTTGGTAAGTGATTGGATGGGGGTGTCAGTGAGGAGCAGGAGCTAGTGACCGGGAGGAGTTCGGAGTGGACAGTGAGGTGGTGCATGAGCCAAGTGGACCAAATGCCATCAGAGCCACCCTGCCTTGTCCCGTCATCTGGGTACAAGAAGAGGACCCAGGAGTTGCACCAGGGAAGCCAGACCAGCTCACCACCTAAGAGCGATTTAACCTGGTTCTTGTTTGAAATGTGTGTCTCCTCTCATATGAGAGGGAGACTTCAGGCAGACGGAGTTTGATCTTCACTGGCTGCTGGCTCCGCGTCCTGAACAGAAAGAGAAATTACACAGTCTGATGGCAATGGCAATATGGTCTGGGAGGAAGTGTCCTCCAGACTGAGAGTCAGGAGACCTGGATTCTGATGACAGCACCAGCGCCATCTCAAAGAGTGTCCTTCAGCAAGTCCTCACCTCCCCAAGGTGAGCCCATCACCTTCACAGAGGGACTACAAACCTTTGCTTTCCTAATCCCCTTTATGGGAATTAAATAGAGACAGTCATGAAGAAGTGTGGTTATTAAGCAAAGAGCAGACTTTCAATTGAAACAAATCTGGGTTTGAATCCTGGCTCAGCCACTTGCTAGATGTGTCACCTTGGTCCAGTTTCGTCACCTGACTGGGCCTCAGTGTCCTCCTCTGTAACAGGAGAACATAACACTTAACCTCACTGAGCTGCAAGGAGTTAAAATGAAATAATGTATATGAGCATGCACTGTCAGCTCTAAATATTAAGTGACTGTTGGTTAAAACATCATAAAGCTTACGTGACTGTGAATGGGGACCTGCATTTATGTTAAGAAGGGGTTGTTAGAACAAGAGAGCTGTGGCTGTGTTGGTAGGGTTCATGGGGCAAAGTCTCAGTGGAGTCACCACAGTTGACAGCCCCGACCTCACAACACCAACGGTTCACAGAGTAGCAGTTGTGTAGTTCCCATGGCAGGGTTTTTATGTCTGCTATCTAGAACAGCCCTTGTCAGCATCAGGGTACGTGGAGGACACGTTAGTTATCCGGGGCATGCTGGATGAGAGAATAAGACCAGAGAAGGACTATGGGAGGCCTGAGGGGTATTTCACTCAGGCCAGCAATAGTGTCTGCCTCTCCACCCACCAGAACATATGTATTTGTCAGTTTAATTTTTCTCCCTGGAAAAGCACCAGCTAAACTTTATCAGGGTGTTCTCTGACTTTCCTCCTCCACTCCATCAGAGAAATACAACAATGGATGCAGTCACCGATCCTTCCCTAGCCCTGTGACGTTGGACTGTTACCTCACCAGTCTGAGCCAAATACCCACTTGTAAAATGAAAATAGTAATGATACTCATGCTGCAGGATTCATGGGAAAGTGTCTCCAACCCACAGGCAATGCTGGCACATGATAGGTACTCAACAGATGTTCCTCCTGCCCCCATTTTTCTCCCCTCCCCTCACCATGAAGACTGCATGGCTTTCCTTTTATTGGGTGAGGCTTTAACCTGATGATCTGGCTCTGAAGTCAGCATCCGGGGTTTGAATTTTGACTCCATCACCATTGCTAGGTAACCTTGAGCAAGTCCTGACCATCTCTTAGCCTCATTGTCCAGTAAGTACTTCCACCTGTCAGAGCCATGGAACGAAATCATGGGTGGACTTGATCTCTACTGTGGTCCCATCCAGCTATGATGTTCTAAGATTTTTCTGATTCTGAAATCTAAAATCTAAAATTTTATAATTCCATGCTTAGATGAGTTTATAAAATTAACAATCCACAATTCTGTGGTTGGAAGAGTCTTAATATGGAGTGATTCCATGAGTGTAAGAGTTCAATCTAATAAGGAAAATCAATACAAAAGTGTCCTAGACAGCCAATCAGGCTAAGCCCATAGCTACTTTCATTCTTTTAGTTAAGGGTTCTTAACTGAGGGTCTTATGGATGGGCTTCAAGAAGAGCTTATGAACTATTTATGGTTTATGTAAACTGTGAGTAAAGACGCATAGGTCATTTTCTGGAAGGAAGACTCATAACTTTTGTTTACGTTTATTTATTTTGAGAGTGAGAGCATGAGTAGGGGAGAGACAGAGAGAGAAGGAGAGAGAGAATCCCAAACAGTCTCCATACTCAGCAAGGACTCTGACATGAGGCTCAAACCCACAAACTGTGAGATCATGACCTGGGCTGAAATCAAGAGATGCTCAGCCAACTGAACCACCCAGGTGCCCCAAAAGACACATAGCTTTTAACAGAATCTAAAAAGGGAACATCCCAGAGGCTTCTGCCCTGACTGATGGTTTCTGTTCCCGTCTCTGGTGTCAGAGTCTTAGGTGTCAGTTCTGCTTTGCATCATTCTAGCTGAGGGCCCTAACCCAGTTATGTAACCACTCTGAACCTCAGCTTCTTCATCTGTAAAGTGAGGATATTACTTGCTTCACAGGGTTGTT